CACACACACACACACACACACACACACACACACACACACACACACACTCAGGAGGCCTGCCTTCATGCCACGCAGTGCAGGAGGGGTAGGGCACCCAGAGGCCTGCCAGCCTCCATACTTTGTGGGCAGGCAAAGGATGCCAGAGGCCTGCCTGCCAAGTATACCACCTGCAGCAGGAGCCACTCTGATGTGCAAGTAACATAGGGGTGGGCAGATGGGAGAGAAAGAGAAGCAGAACAGTTTGAGCATCATGAAGAGAGGTGGAGTCAGAGATGCTAGGGTGGAGAGGAGCAGCCTGCCCTGCCACCTGAGGCTGTGGTGAGGCCCTGGCCCATGCTGTCACTGAGCACCATGTCTGGGTCTGTGGCCTTGCAGCAGCATAGGTCTGTGAGAATATCCATGGCTTATGTTACCACTAAAGACCGTGCGGATGTCCCTAATCTGGACTGCTGCCTGGAAACATGTTGAAGTCCAAGGGCTGTGCAGAGCTGGCTCTACCCCTCACTGGCTGTGGCACTTGGAGGCTGGCCCCACCTCTCACTGACTATAGCCCCTGGGAGAGTGGGCCCTGCACCTCGCCTGGGCAGCACAGTAGAACTGTCCCTGTTGGCTTGGGAGAGCCAATCTCAAGAGTATGAGAGCAGAACTGGCCCAACCCCTGGCCAAGGGCAGCACTCAGGAGAGTGGGCTGCACCGCAGCTGGGCAACACAGCAGAGCTGCCTCGGTGGTGTGGGTGTGGGTGAGCTGGGCCTGAGGGCATGAGAGCAAGAGAACTGACTCGGGCTCCTGCCAAGGGCAGCATCATATGGCGTAGTAGGAGCAGTGCGGGACAGCTAGTCCTGTAGGTGTGGAAGAGCTGGCAGGCTGACCAATTCAGCTGTCACCCAGGAGCAGATCCAGGCCTTTGATTTGGCTCACCCCAGCACTTAATCATTTATTAACTACTAGAGTGTGTGAAAGAGACAGTCCTAAAGATTCAAAGCTGCAGGATCTCCGTGACACAGGCCAACAACAGGATATCCAAGAGGAGTCCTAGTGAGGATCCAGTATTGATGGTGTAGCAGAAGCTAGAATTCTCCAACCAAACCAATGACTCATTGCAGTGAACATTTGCAAGTAGAGATATGTGGACAAACGAGTATTCTGTGTGACACACTGTGTCACAATAGCGTCCAGACAAAATGTTTTTATGTTTTGCTTATTATTTTATTTTATTCTTGTTTTTTCTTTTCTTTTGGGGGGCAGGTTATAGGGGCACAGGGCAAATATGAAGGGACAGGGAAATGAGTGAGATTGGGGTACATTATGTAAAACTCACAAAGAATCAATAAAAAGTATATTTTTAAGTACCCAGAAGCTCAGGCATAGACCTTGTTAGAAACTCTACTCCTTTACCCTTTCAAATCACTTTCTCTACCTTAATGCAGTCAATTATAAAGAAAAAGAACAAGGAGAAAAACAAAAGCATGGGGCTGGAGAGATGGCTCAGAGGGTAAGAGCTCAGTCTGTTCTTCTGAAGGTCTGGAGTTCAATTCCCAGCAGACACATCATGGCTCATAACCACCTGGTGCCCTCTTTTGGCCTGCTGGCTCACATTCAGGCAGAATACTATATAAATAATAAATAAACAAATCTTAAAGAAAAACAAAAGCAGAAAGAGAAAAGGAAGCAGCTATTTTATGGACATACTTAAGAACATGTGTTAGCCGGGAAAGAGTTCTTACAGGAATGAGAACTCCCTGTTGGTGAAAGGTCGACAGGCTCGGGAAAGGGCTGTAGAATCAGTATGTGTGCACATGCTGGTGTGTGAATGTGTTGCGGTGGGGTGAAGAGAGGAGGAGACAAGGTGAAAACAGCAGAGTCCATCAACAGCTCTTTGTTCAGCCTCTAAGTTCCCTGGACACCTGTTGAAAATCCAAGTAAGCATATCCAACTCCTCCCCAGCCCAGAGCTAGTCTCCATGTACGACCCTGGTAGGAGTCATTTTGGGAAATGTTTTGTTGTTTTGTGGTTGGAGACAGAGTTTCTCTGTGGAACCCTGGCTGTCCTGGAACTTGCTCTGTAGACCAGGCTGACCTTGAACTCAGAGATCTGCCTGCTTCTGCCTTCATAGTACTTGGGTTAGAGGTGAGTGCCACCACTGACCAGCTCATTTTGGGCAATTCTGTCTGATCCCTAGTAACTTTGCTGAAAAACCTTCGAATTACTCTTTCCTAGCTTCAGAGACAAAGAACTTAGTTGTCAACTTGCTGATAAAACAAGCCTCTTTTCCCCATATGGCATTCAGCTGAGTTTCTATGGTGACAGTTTCTATCACTGCTGTGACAATCACACTGTTCTAGTTTTAGTCTGTTGCCAGGCCAAACACCATGACCGAAAGCAATTTGGGGATAAAAGGTCTTATTTCAGCTTCCAGCTTCCAAGTAACTGTCAGTCATTGAAGGAAGTCAGGACACAACCCTACCCTGTCTACAAGACTTGCAGGGAGAAGATAGAACAGAGATTGAGGAAATGTCCAACCAATGCCTCGCCCCTGACACTATGAATGATATTCTGCTAAGCTTGCAGACAGGAGCCTATTAGAGTTGTTCTCTGAGAGGCTCCACCCAGCAACTGTTCAAAACAAATGCTTACTCATAGCCAAACATCGGTTGAATCATAAGGAGTCTAGTGGAAAAGTGGAAGGAAGGATAAAAGGACCTAGAAGTGACAAGAGCTCCACAAGAAGACCAACAGAGCCAACTAACCAGGGCCCAGAGGGGCCTGTGGAGTCTGAAGCACCAACCAAGAACCACGCATGGGCTGGACCTGGGTCCTTTACTTATACGTAGCTGATGGGCAGCTCAGGTTTCATGTGGGCCCACTAATAAGGGGAAGGGGGCTGTCCCTGACATGGACTCTTTTGCCTGTTTTTTGATCACTTCCTCCTGGTGGGACTGTCTTCCAGAGCACAGGGAAAGAGGATGAACTCAGTCCTCATTCTACTTGATGAGCTGGGGTGAGTGAGTGGGGGGGGGGGGCTCCCTTTTTCTAAGGAATGGGATTAGGGAGGGAGAGTGGAACTGGGAGGAGAGGAGGGAGGGGCCACAACCAGGATGTAAAGTGAATAAATAAATTAATTAAAAAAAATAAAGGAACTCAAAGCTAGAACCTAGAAGCAGACACTGAGGCAGAGGTCCTGGAGGAAGGGCCCACTATCTTGCTCCCTCTGCCTTGTGTTCAGCCAGCTTTCTTGTACGACCTACCTGCCTAGGAATGGTTCTGTCCACAGTGGTCTCTGCAATCCCACACCAACCATCAGCCAAGACAATTCCCCGCAGGTGTGCACAGGGTCCAATCTGATAGAGTTCCTCAGCTAAGGTTTCTTTTTCCTTGGTCACTTAGAGTTTATGTCAAGTTGATAACAAAAAAACAAGTGTAAACATTCTCTTAACTACCCTACTCCACCCCCAGGAATCTAAGGATGGTATTTGCTTTGCAAATCATTTCATGGCTCCTTACAAAAGCCATGAGAGAAGGAACTGTACTATGCATTTTATTATAGGAGCTGTAACTATGCTCCAGAATCATCAGTCAGTTAGCTCAACTATATTTTCAAGCCAAATACTTCTTAAATTATCAACTCATCAAAACATGAATCCAGAAAATTGGTTGCTTACAGAGGAGCCAAACAACATACATCATATAAAAAGCTCCCAGCCTACTGATTCTGTTCCCATCCCAGAGTTATCTGATGCACCAGTCACCTGGAGGCGTTGTCCTGGGCTCCCATAGAAGTGCATTGATAGACGACCTTAATTCCTGCTTTAACACAATTTACACGGAGGGCATTACATTGTAATATTGTTCTGAAGTTTATGCTGAACAAGGTGGTTCAGGCATTTGGGAGATGGAGCCAGGAGGATCAAACACTCAAGGTCTTCTTGTTACATGGTAAGTTGAAGGCCAGCCTGGCCTACATTTTTCTATAATTCACCTTGTGTTAGACTGGCATCATCAGTTATAGCAAATGATTTCAAAAAGCATGGGCCTACCACACTTAATCTAATTCCCCCTTTATTCCTTTTTAATGATTTATTTTAAACTCTCTCTGTGTCTCTCTTTCCCCCTCTCTCCTCCCCACCCCTCTGTCTCTGTCTCTGTCTCTTTCTCTGTCCCTGTCTCTCTGTCTCTGTGTCTCTGTCTGTCTGTCTGTGTGTGTGTGTGTGTGTGTGTGTGTGTGTGTAAACACAAGTACATGTTCCCACAGAGACCAGAAGAAAGCATCTGATCCCTTGGAGCTGGAGTCATAGTTGGTTGTGAATCGCCATACATGGGTGCTGGGACTAAACACAGGTCTTCTGCAAGAACAGTAGATGCTTTAACCACTGAGCCATCTCTCAAGCATGGGCATCACTCATGAAGCAACATTCCCTCTCCACCCTTGCCTGGAGCAGTGGGATATCTGCTGAGGAGAGCTGCTAACAGCCCCAAAGAGAAAAGTGTGTTTCAGTCAGCAAAGCTGAGAGGAGTTGGAGATCTAAAGAACTTTTTGACATCAGACATAGAGATGCAAACTTTGGAGCTGGCCCTGCTGGTTTTCAGTCTTGCTTTGGCCCAGTATTTCCTCACTATGTTCCCTTTCCTTCCTTTTGGAACAGTAATGTGTATCCTGTGTTAGAGAAGGATCTTGTGCGCTGTGTGTTTCCGATGCCGATTTCAGTGCCCTGAGATCTAGTTACCATCCTGTCACAGGCACTGTTATATATGCTGAACCATCTCCTGTATCCATGTGAGGTAAAGAATGCTCCCCCATTATCTCTGATTGGTTAATAAATTGCTGACAGCCTTGACTTGGCAGAAGAAAGGTAAGTGGAGTTAAGGTTCTGGGTTTGGGGAGCTCAGGAAGACCACCAAAAGAGGAGAAGGAGGACAGAAATGGAGTGGAGACAGGAGGCTGCCATGGGTAACCAGGAGCACGTGGCCAAGAGCAGCTCCGAGGACTGGCCTGATGGAGCACAAGCAGCCCAAATGCAACATGTGCAGGTCTTTGGGATTTTGGATGGAAGCAGACAAGATAGCTTAGAGGGTAAATATCTGCCCCTCTGGTGCTTTTCGGCTTATTATAGATCTAACAAATTTCTGTGTCTTTTATTTGAAAATACCTGGCTTATGAATAACTGCTGTCTTAATAATTTCATGTATTAATTACTATATACAGAACAATTAATTAATTTTACAACCGTATGCTATTATGTTGGAAGTATGTGATATTTTTTAATTTTGTAGGGGCATATTGGTTTTTTATTTTTTAATTAATTTACTTATTTTTATTAATTACATTTTATTCACTTTGTATCCCAGCTGTAGCCCCTCCCTCATCCCCTCCCAATCCTGCCCTCCCTCTCTCATCTCCTCTTGTGCCCCTCTCCAAGTCCACTGATAGGGAGGTCCTCCTCCCCTTCCATCTGACCCTAGTTTATCAGGTCTCATCAGGACTGGCTGCATTGTCTTCCTCTGTGGCCTGGTAAGGCTGCTCCCTCCTTAGAGGATGGTGATCAAAGAGCCAGCTACTGGAGTTCATCTTAGAGACAGTCCCTGTACCTGTTACTAGGGAACCCACTTGGACACTGAGCTGCTACGGGCTACATCTGTACAGGAGTTCTAGGTATTTCCATGCATAGTCCTTGGTGGAGTATTGGTCTCAGAAAAGACCCTTGGGCCCAGATTTTGTGGTTTTTTTGCTCTCTTTAGGTTCTGAGCTCTTGTCACTCCAGGTCTTTCTATCTTGTAGGGGAGTACTGTTAAGAGATTGAATGAATTTCAGAAGAGACTTTGAACTTAGACTTTTAAACATTGTTGAGAATGTAATAGATTATGTCTGAGGGCTTTTGAAGTTGGACTAAATTCATTTTGCATTGTTATGGCTATAAGCCTATGAGGGCCAAGGAGTGGAATGTGGAGGCTTGAATAGGAATAGCCCCATAGACTCCTGTATTTGAATGTTTGTCCCATAGAGAGTGCCACTATTAGGAGGTGTGGCCTTGTTGGAGTAGGTGTGGCCTTGTTGAAGGAAGTGTGTCATTGGGGGTGGGCTTTGACGTCTCCTACACTCAAGCTATGCTCAGTGTGGCTCATAGTCTTCCTCATGCTGCCTGTGGAACAAGATATTAAACTTGTGGCTCCTTCTCCAGCACCATGTCTGCCTACACACTGCCATGCTTTCTGCCATGACAGTAATGGACTAAACCTCTGAAACTATAAGCCAGCATCAAGTAAATGCTTTTTTTGGTAAGAGTTGCCATGATCATGGTGTCTCCTCACAGCAATAAACCCTAAGACACCATTGTTCTGCATGCTGGGTGCATTAAGCATCAGACCTCACAATTCTGGAGGCAGGAGTCTGAGATCCATTGTTGGCAGTTTAAGTTCCCTCTGAGAGATCAAGGAAAGCATATGGTCCAGGGCTCTGCTGGCTCCTGAGAACTTTTTGTTGTGTGTCAGCATTATGCCAGTCTCCACATAGATGCTTCCCCAGGGATGTCTAGTAAGGACATTGGCAATATTGAATTAGGAGCCCATCGTCATTTTCCCATGGTCTCAGATAGCAGCAATAATGTTGTTTCCATAAAAGGTCACAGTCTGAATGACTGGGCAATAGGATTTCAATGTATGGATTTCTGCTGTGGTTCAACTCCTATCAAACTCCTGGCGGTCTGGGACAAAGCAGTGTGCAAGGGGTTGCTTCCTTTTTCTGCTTTCTGCTTCTGCCCATGTTGTGGACCACATCTGCATATTAAAGCCTCCAATAAAAGAAAAAGTTGCTCATTTGTAGCTGAGTGCCCAACCTTTCAGAGCTTGTCCACGGGTGGGCGGGCCTTTGTGGCTGCGCTCATGGCAGTGGCTCTCCTTTGCCTGCTGTCTCCTGATCTCTGTCCTTACTCAGAGACACTCTCAGAACCGCTGCACACCCTCTTGTCCAGCTTCTTGGCCTGTGGCCGACAGGAAAAAGACATGCCAGTCACTCTAAAGATCCAGCCACCTTGACATTCCTGTCAGGCACACCTAGGTCAGAGGTCTCTGTTCAGGGTGAAAATGGCACTACAGATCTGAGCAGATGGAGCGATGCACACAGATTATAATTACAAAATCATAGGTGATCAATGATCATTGGAAAAAACATGGCTTGGGGGTAATAGAGCTTGTGTCTCACATGTGTAAGGCGCGCGCGCACACACACACACACACACACACACACACACACACACCAATAAAATAAGAAACAGTACTGCCATGGTAAGAAGCCATCAAGAAGAAATGCTTTCAAAACAAAGTTAACTTTATTGCATTAATTTTACACTGTAAAAGAATATGAAATGCAGCCTTGTCTAAATCCTCTTGCTGACTCTCTTGTAGACAATGTCGCCCAGGGTCATGGTCTGAAAGTCAAAAGAGATGTTATGAAATATTTTCTTGATGATTAATTGTAAAACAAACAAACAAAAAAATTGTCTCCCCAAATGGCCCCAAATGTGCTAACACATGAAAAAAAATTTTTTAAATTTACAATTTTCTTTAAGACCAGAGGAATGGCTCACAACTTTTTCTAAATCACTATGCTGGGTCTTGTCGCTTCTCTTTTCATGTGGAGGGAGGGCTGTCTCACCAGCCGTTGAATTGTTTCCTGAATCAATGATAGCTATAGGAAAGCCGTCCAGAGCAGGCCAATACAGTGTCTCAAAATTTCACTGAGCTCTGTTCCTGTACACTAGCTGCTTGTGGCTGAACACAAGCGTACGTACGTGGACACACTGGAACATAGGAGGTGCTGACTACTTTCCCTCTTCACCTTGTGAGGGAAGCACTCGAGAACATTCGCACTCCTGCTCTGCTGTGGGGTGAGCGGCCAGGGTGGGGTGAGCGGCCAGGGTGGGGTGAATGTTGCTTCGTGACTGATGCCCGTGCTCTCATGCTTGAGGGGGGCTTTCTCTTGACTTGATCCTGTCACTTAGACAGGTGTTTGCCTTCTTGACCCCCTAAAGTGCGTCCTGGATACAACGGAAAGCTGGGAGACCTGAGTGTGGGAGGAACGCTATGATTACCCTGCAAACCGGGGGCAAAACAGCTGGGCGTGGAGGATGGTTGCATATGAGGGCATGCTCAGGGTGTATGTGTTCATCAGGGGCCATAAACTTGGCAGAAAGAACAGTGGCCTCAAAGAACCAATGCCAAGTGGGCAGAGGCGTTTATTAGGCACTTGAGCTGTGGAAGAGGGGGCCTCTGTGGCTCCTTGGTTAGTGCTGGGGCAGGAGGAAAGGCTGTGGCTGTTGGTTATGCTGAGGTAATCAGATAGGACCAGCAGCGAACAAAGTCTCCCCTGTGTAAGTTTTACTCTGATGGGAAGCAGCGCTGCAGCCTCCAGGGCAGGACGTCGGCACACACCGTGAACTCTGGCACGTCTCTGGATTGAGTGGATTTCTTTCACGTTGAGTGTGCGGTAAGGCCCCATTCAAGCGCAACAGGAAAAGGGAGCTATGTTCTGCACACCCTGCTCTGTGCCTCAGCACATCATGCACTTTCCACCCTATCCTGTTTGGGTGCTGTTGGGAAAAGGGAACGTAGCAGGGAGTGGGCAAGGAGGAGAGAGGCAGAGGAGTCAGGGTTGTGGGAAGTGGCTGACTCAGAAAGTGGAAGTGGAAGGAGGGGTGAGACACCAGGTGAGCTTCCTCACCTGGGTGTGGCTTCCTCAAACACTACTCTTCTGTCTGTCAGGAAATCACCCTGATATTCTGCTGTGGTTTGGCCAGAACAAGATCGCTGTAGATGTACTGAGTGCAAATCCTGACTGTCTACAGTGTGAACAGATTCCCCTAGGGCTTGAGTAGTGAGATTAGCCCAAGAGACAGGTCCAGTTCAGAAAAGCCCTGACTGCCATCTGACCAGGTCATTGCCTTACTTTCCCTATTTGGAAAAGCGTTGTTCAAATGGTTCCATACAGTGTCTATCAATTACATGGTAAATAATGGATCTTCTTACATGGTTGAAGACATTGACAAGAGGCAAGATAGAGAGTCAAGGTCTCAGGAGGAAAAGATCCCCCAGGCTCTGGGGTGGCAGGACCAGAGTGCCAACTTACATTGGTGATTGTGTCTCCATTGAGTTCAGTCACAGACTTCATGCCTTTGAAACTTGTCACCATTTTATTGTCACCTTCCATCTTTACCACCGCCTGCAGAGAAGAGAGATCATGGCCCATGAGGAAAGGCCTAGCAATGAAGCTAATGAAGTTGGATCCATTATCAGCTGACAATGAATCAAATGCCCTGCTCATCTCCTGTTCTTTAGTCCTAAATGTAAATAGGGTATATTTATGAACGAAAGAAAATGTCAATCCTACCTAAGCAATTCTCCCCTGAAAAAAAAAAATCTAAAATAAAATGTGAAATCCTATTTCTCAAGCTTCTGGGGAAAGTGGTAATAATACTCCAATCACCAGCATCTGAGGGGAGTCAGTGTGCTTTGGTAGATGTTGCATCTTTTCTATTGTGGTGCCAGGTCCAAGCCTTATACACCAAGGATGGTAGGAAATAGAAACATAGCTGTGGCTGAGTGTTGTGGGTTTGAAATTCCAGCACTCAGGAGGCAGGGATGGCAAAATGTTAAGTTTGAGGGCAGTTTGGGCTTCAAAGCAAGATTAGCTATGTAGTTAAAAAAAAAAAAAAAAAAAAGGGAAGCAAGGGAGGGATCAAGAAAAGAAAGGAAGGGAAAAAAATCTATCAAGAGCAAAAAGACATCAGCCAAGGTTAAAAATATGTCTCTGCAATGGCCATTGGAAAAGGGCTGTCGTAAAATCCATGACACCCAACCCCTCGTCACGAGCACATCAGGAGAATCTCCTGCTCTTCACCTCGACACGCAAGACAGGCAGAAATAAGCACAACCAGAAAAGATAAAGAGACCTGGAAAGGCAGGAGCGGAGAGAACAGATTATAGTCCACTGGCTGCCCTGGTCTGTGCAGGCCTCACAGGGAGGGGCAAATGGCAGGACCCACGGCCCCTGGATCTCTCTGCTATCTCCTGTCCACTGCTCACACAGCCACAGACAACTGGCATTGCTGTTGGGAACCAGCTCCCAGGCAAGGTGGAGCTGCCCTGGCTCAGACAAAGGTTTTCACTGACACCAATTTGCCTCAGTTCTGGGCTCTCCTCAGAGCACTCAGAGAGCCAGGAGCGCTGTGTCTGGGAGACCCTGAGACTGATGATCCTGCTCTGTACCTGTTTCCCCACATGCTCCACAGTGCGAGCCCAGATGCCTGTGAGCCCTGAGACAATGAGAAATCTGTTCGCAGAGCACTCCGTGTCTCCTGCCTGAAGTAGGCTCAGTGACATGGTCTCTATTGGGAGAATTTTTGGGAAACAGGATGTAGCAGGAACATACCTTGACCTTTTCCCCGCTCATGATCTCCAGTTCACATTCCTCTCCCAAGGTGAATTCGTTATGGAACACTTTGGGCCCGTAAATGATGGTGAGTTTGACTTTCTTCCCTTCATGTACGATTTCTGACACCCCCTTGATGTCCTTCCCCTTCTGGATGAGGTCCTCAGGCAGACCTGGTAGAGACCATGTAAGGTTAGAGACTGGAGGAGCAGAGGCGGTCACTGTATGGTCCTGAGGCCCCACAAACTTCTATATAGCAGATCTGTGAGCAGTTAGGCCTTTTGCTTCTGATAGGGAAGTCAGTAGTCTCTACTCTTTTGCCAATTAGTACTATGATTTTTGAGACACAATCTCTCACAGCCCAGGCAAGCTTAACTCAATATACAGTTGGGGATGGCCTTGGGTGTCTGACCCTCCTGCTTCCACCTCTCTAGTGCTGGTTGTCATACCTGGCTTGTATGGTGCTAGGGATTGAAGCCAGGGCTTTATGCATGCTAAGAAACCAACTGAGCTGCATTCCCAGCCCACCAATTCATTTGTAATAAGGACCCTCATTTAGCCCGAGGGCCCTTTTCTCTGGGGCTCCCTGCTTATTATTCAGTCTCCTTCCTAATTCCCTCCTTCTTTAGAGGCTTTGTTCTTGGAGTGGGGACACTTCATCCTCCAGGATGTTTATCTTCCAAATCAAAGTACTCCTAAAGTGATAGGGGAGCTACTAATTAGGCCACGCACAAAGTGGGACCATGCCAGGCTGCTGTGGCCTCCGGAGTTAAGACTCTTGTGGGTAATGTACAAATATCTTTTGCCCCAGAATAGGGCTTTGCAAATTTGTGCTTTTACATGAAGGTTCACAAGAACCACCGAGTTCACAACAAGAGTGGAGGGACCTTTGTACAACTAAGGGATCCCCAAATTCACGATCTATGACTTGTCTGCAAAAGAAGCTGTGAGTCCTATGACGATCTGAATGTCCTCCTGTCCCTGCTCTTGCTGTTGCTCATCTTCTCCCTGTTGGTACCCTTCTTTGTCCCCCTTCACCCTTTGCCCACAGGGCTCTCTCTTCCTGGAACATATTCTTCTTTCCCTGGTTCCAGGTGTAGCCTTCGCCTCCACAGAATCTTCCCTCCCATACCCTGGGAGACATAGGGTGTTTAAATGGGGTCCCTGGGACCCAGCACCTGCTTCTAATGCCAACTCAAACACTGTCTCTACTAGGACCATTGCCACAGCTAATTCTGCTTTCTTGGCCCTGTTTTTGTCTCAATTATAAAATGGGAATAGAACAGCGATCAATTCCAGTTATGGTGAGGACTAAATGTGGGCATTGTATGGCAATTCCTGGTCTAGCATCATACGTATTAGGGAACACTTCATTACATTTATCTTCAAATAATTGGCCAGGATTGTACCTTATTACACTTGGTGCCCCTGGTGTATGTACAAGCATAGCGCTTGTGGTACGGTTGGCCTTCAATCAGTAATGACTAGAAAAATGAAGGAATGGGTGAGTGGATGAACAAGGTCTTGAAAAAAAGTACCAGCAGACACACACTTCAATCCAGTTCATACTCCAGTTCAGTGTCCTTTCCACTGCCTCAGGGTGGCCTTGGCCAGAGAGGAACAATACAAGTAGCAAGAGCCCAGGAAAGTCACTAAGGCACCCCTCCATTTGGTATAACCTGGTCCCCTCCTTCCACCTCAACATCAGACCTTAACTGTCTGGTGATAGTATGGTTAGACCCTCATTGCTGTTACATCAGCTTTGGCATTCCATCCAGAACTCACCAATTGCCTTCATGAAGGGCTCAAAGTTCTCTTGGCTCTGCAGTTGGTACTTGCCAGAGAAGTTCATGGTGGTGATGAGGCTCGCTTTCAACGGCTGACCACAGCAGCTCTGCCTGCCAGGCCACCCACTGTTGGCTATTTTATAAGGGGCTTCTTCCTCCTCAGATATAGGCCATAGGTCAGTGGTTGTCGATTTCTTTATGGCCAGGTTCAAACATTAACTCCTGAGAGCAATGGTCAATGATAAAAATCAGAATGGGCAAGGCAGAGGTTTGTTCTCATTCTGCAAGCATTAATTTGTGCCAATCAAGTGCAAAGCTTGTAGCAATGCACGTGTGCATATATACATATGTGTACGTATTATATGTTTGTACACTTGTATGTATGTATGTATATACATATGTGCATATATAATACATTTATGTATATGTTACACGGAGAGAAATACCTTTGAGCTCAAAACGTTTTTCATACAACCTTATGTTTGTTCCTCAACCTTTTTATTATTATACAAACATAACTTCACATATCGTCACATGTCATCATAATAACTTCACATGTCATCAGTCCCTAAAGTTGTTTTGTAATTCTGAGAATTCTTCCTCAGTGATTCCAGGCAAGCCTCCCTTTTGATGTGCTAACAAGGCCTCTACTGTCAGCAGGTGTAAGCTCTTTAAAGCAGCAGTGTGAAAAAGTAGATGCATTTTTGTTTGGTGGAGAAAAAGTCAAGGAAAGAAAAAAAGGCATCCCCTGCCCATTGCCTGCTGGTGTGTCCCATCCCTGCCTCAGAGCCAGGAGCAGGGAGCTGAGGTGGTTCATGGCAGTTTGGCTTGAACCAAACTGCCTGGGGAGAAGTCGTAGGGATGCTTCCAAAGACCTTTGCTGTTCTTGTTTGTCATGGTCTTGCATCTGAGGCAGTTCTCAGTAGGTGCCACTTCACACCCTGTCTAGCCTTTAGCACCAGCCTCTTCACTCACAGCTGTCAGCCCTCCATCTAGACCTCTCTACCTTGAGGTTACACAGACTGTTATAAATCAGAGCCTGGGATATGCCATGCCTTGATTTTAAACCTCTGATGGTCCCTACAGCTAAAGGTGCCTGGGGTATGCACTCCTCTGTGTTTGAGTCTCTGTCTCTTCTGCTGTCTGCCTCCCTGAAAATCCTCCCAGCTGGGGGAGGGAGCACTTTATAACATCACTGTCCCTATTTCTGCTGCCTCCACTCAGCTGGGCTGGCTGCTCTACATTCTTCCTCACCGTGCTCCTTCCTCAGTATTCTCAGTGGCTGGCATGTGGGGTGAGCTCCATCAGTGCTAGTTCAGGGGAAATAATCGAAAGATAACGAGGCAATGCCTCTTATGATGAAGAAGGAGAGATACGGAATAGTAAACTCAGCAGGCCAGTCCTGTAATCAGTGAGTCATAGGAGTCTTGAAGCAAGGAGACTGGAGGGCAAGCGTGAATCTGTGCATGTGCAAGGGCCTGTGGCACCTCCTGTGCGCAGTGTGTAGCTTGTGCATGTGTGCAGCTTGGCGGACAAGCCAGTGAGGATAGTGTGAACGGGGTGTGAAGTATTGCCCCAGGCCTGAGGGCCCATGTCTCTTTCCACCCGGTGTTCTTTCTCTTTTTGCTGTGACCCTGCTCTGTCATTCCAGCCTGCTAAGCCCATGGAGGGGGACTTTGCATGGAGTCTTCTCTGTTTCTGGACAGTCTCCTCCCACTTGCATTGCAATCACCCAAAGGATAAAATGCTTATCTAGCCCATCTGCCCAGCAGCAGCTCCCTACTCCACTCAGAAACCTGCTGGGTTGCCGTGTCTACCTCTAGGCCATAAATAAGGCTCTAGTCGGGCAGATCTGGGGTGGGAATGAGAAGGAGGAATTTTAACTGATGAAATCTCATGCCAGGGGCATCAGTGCCTCAGGAAGACAGCTTAGGACCAACAGCCATGCCCGCCTACAGTAGGGATGTATCTACCACTTCAATGCCTTTGTACAGACTCTCCAGAACCTCTGAAATTTGCAGCTTCTGATCCAGCCAATCATTTAAGAAGTCTTTGAATGTACACACCACATATCCAACGCCTGAGCCCTTCTCATTCATCCCTGATAGATGGTATTTATATGCACCTGTTACGGGCAAGGCCATTGCTCGGCATGATGAGAGTAGAGGCATTAGTTGAATGTAGCAGGACACAGATCTCGGCCCCAGCACAGATGACCTCTCTGCCCTCCCTGCCCAGCCTCTTCTAATAGCACTGAGGACATGAAGTGCCTCCTGGTCCACACACTGAAATAACGCATGGGAGAAGCACACATATTAAGGCAACTAGGAGCATATGTGGCCTTTAATTTTAGTTGGTAACCAAGAGTGAGACTTTGTTGGCACTGAAGCTCAGGAAGACAGCATTTTTAAAGGCAAACCCCACAACAATTATAATTTATATAAAAGCTAGGTGAGAGTCGGAGTAACCTTGAAACAGTCATTTCCAGCAGAGCACAGTTATTTCAGGCAAAACATAACAATTATTTTTGACTTATAGCTTCTTCAGGTAGTTTAGTTTATGTTAAGTTTATATAAACTTAATACACGTGGACCATCATCAGGATCATGGAAATCTCATATGTGTCACCAAGGCTAATGGGGCTGCTGTGACAGTACACACAGACAGCTGAGATCTGTCTAAGAAAACACAAGGTAGAGTCAGGACAAGATGGTGCTCCCTTGGTCACTTCAACATCAAATCAGGGCTGTCCCTGCACATCTTGTGTGTTGAGCATCTGTGTTCATTTGTAGTTACCCGACCACTTGAGCACAAGGACAGGCAAAGTGGCTCAAAGGATGATGAGAACATCAAGGTACCTTCGTGCTCTGAGCCTAGAATGTGGGTCTTTTAATGTGACTTACTGTACGAAGGGGACAATGTAGACACAGATTTCTAAGTGGTACCCTGAAGTTTTGAATTTACATATATAATGATTTATATATATAATACATATATAATGAAAAGTCTAGTCTATTAAGTTGCATTGGAATTTTGTTAGGTGATTTTGCCCCCCCCCCCACGTGAGCACGCACAAGTGTTTGTGTATGTGTGTAAATGACTGGATAAATTACTTGAGAAAGCTTGTTTGAAGCTCCAACCTGGGCAACAAGAGCCAAGATAGAGAAAGGAAAAATTCTTTCCTTGAGCTAAAGACCAGAAAGGCTGGAGGGGAAACAGAGGGACCAGCAAGGCTGCAGCAGTGCTTTGGTGACTGCCAAGCCTGCTGCCCTCTTGTTCAGTGGACAAGACTCAAAAAAACAAGTGAAAAAACAACAATAAGAGGAACCAGTGTGGGTTTAGAGCATCAAGCCACTAAGACCCCTCCCTCGAACAAAGCAGGGATTCTAAGAAGGCCACTGTTGACTCCGAGAGTGGCTCTTTACTCCAAAATGACTACTTCCTTTGTTTTAAAGCCTGCTCCTCCTCCCTCAACAGCTTCTGAAGATGGAGCTGTTGGACTGGGATATGGCCCGCAGGCACAGCTGGCCTGTGCCGGTCTGATGCCACGCAGGAGTGGAGCTATGACGATACCTGAACTCCCTTCACTAGAGCCGCCTTCTTCATAGAGAGCCACAGCCACAGGAGCGTGGGGTCATGAAGCCTGGGACTCCATGTTTTGGTGTGCCGTGATGGTTGCAGTCACACGAGAAAGCTGGATTTGTGGGCTCACTGCAGAATCTGCAGAATGTAGCTGCAGCATCCTAGCATGAGGTTGGAAATTTGAGCAGTGGCTTTATAGCAGCTGAGTGCTAGAGCAAGCAGACATGGCCTCCTACAGGTTTGTCTATCCCCTGGCGTGAGAACTGAGGATGCAGAGTTGGCCTACGAGTTTGTCTATCCCCCTAGTGTGAGAGCTGAGGACAGTTTGAGCTGGCAGCAGCAGCTCCACCCAGAAGTTCTGTTTCCTCAGAGGAGGATCATCAGCCCTGATTCTGAAGATTTCCAGATTTTGGTGCAGAAACACTCCTGCCTTCTGTATGAGGCTGTCCCCGGCCACCACACGTGTCAGACAGCGCATTTGCTGTCACTAACCTGACCAATAGGAGCTTATGCCCTCATAAGCCCTCCTCATCCACCACCTGTCCAAAGAGCTAGTCCAACAGGATGGAGTACTAGCTAGCATGCACACAGTTCCTCTCAGAGCAGCTAAACAGATAGAAATGAAGGAAGGAAGGGGAAGAGGGCAGAGAGGAGGGTGGGGGAAATCGTAGGAGCTTTACAGTCTAACGCCAAGGAAATAATCCCCAAGGTAACTGTGGTAAAGTCCTCCCCAGTCAGCCCAGCGATCAAGTGCCTGCTTTGGGAGGCTGTGTGGACAGCGTGCTCCAGATGCCATGCTCTCTCACGCACCCAGCTGCATGTGAGAAGACATACTCGTGTAAAAGCAAAATCTGACACATAAAAACCTTGCACTCGGGGCTTCTGCTGACAATAGGTGTCAAGCTGCAGCTTTCTTGGTCCTCAGCCACAGTGAAGTCTGGGGACGTCTCTGGATTGAATGGATTTCTGTCCTGTAGGCTGAGTGTGAGGTCTGCAGGCCCACCTCAGCAGCAACAGGACAAGGAAGCTATGCTCTGCACATCCTGCCCTGTGCCTCAGCACCCCACACATTCTCCACCCCATGGCTTTTGGGTGCAGTTGGGGAGATATTCAAGAGCAGTATCTTGAGGAAGGGGCATCCTTTCTAGCTCACCTGGTTTCTCACTCCTCCCATTTCCCACTTTCTGAGTCAGCCACTCCTGCCGACATCTCTGCCTCTCTCCTCCCTGCCCACTCCCTGCCACTCTCCTTTTTCCCAACGGCACCCAGAGATGGGTGGGAAGTGCTTAGTGTGCTGAGGCGCAGAGAAGGTTAAAAAAATTGGGGGCTGAAGAGACGGCTCAATGGCTAAGAGCATTTGCTGCTCTTTCATGGGGACCCAGCACCCATGTGGCTCACAACCCCCTGGAACTCCAGCCCCAGGGGATCTGCAGGCCTCTTCTTGGCTCTGTAGCCACAGACACAATACAAATGAGAACAGTAGCAAACAATGCAAAGTCACAGCTGTGCGTAGTTTTATATAAACGTTAGGTGAGCACTGGGACATAG